GCACAAATGTGCCCGTGAAATCATCACATTTTCAGTACCGCTTTCAAAATGGAACTACAATGCAATTTCTGATCAAGTGTTTATCTTAAAAAGGCTTATTGTTATTAAAATTGAGTCATGTTTTAAAAGACTGTTCAGAAAAAGGCCATAGTATTAATAATATTCTTACTGCATAAATTAATTGAAAAGATAAATGGTTTAGACTTTTCTTAAGCTCTCTTAGCTGGTCCTCAACTGCAATGTACTGGGTTGGTTTTACACCTGGCTGTAATTTGGAGTGCCAAGGTGGCACTTACTAAGCATGCACTGTTAAAAGAGCTCTGCAGTGACAACTTGACTGTATTTTCTAATCAGCGACCATGGTGTGGCTGGTGGGCATGGCAGATGGTGAATCACAGGCTAAGAAAAAGGAAGAACCGAATTCCTCAGAACTGGATGACCAAGGTGAGTCATTGCTTTAAGGGCTGGTATGCAGGTAAATGTGATTACCTGTTTGATCGCAGTCAACCCCTTTAAATAAAACACTACCTCCTGGTTACTGTGGCCACAGTTGAAATAGTCTTTCCCAGAGAGACCTGAACAGCAAAGAGGGCCAGAGGAGCAGACTGAATAGTTCTTTCTGTTTAGTGGCGGATAGATGTGGAACAATCCGACTTGGGGAAAATTACAAATTAGGAAGCAGATGGGAATCGTCTAGAACACACGGACAGTCTGCGTCGCCAGCTGATGGGAGCCCTTTTTATTTCCTGTTAAAAATCTATTTTAACCTGTTTCAGAATAGTTTTACACATTTTTTTTTTGTCCAAAAGGGGTCAACTTTATTTTTCCTGTTTTTATCACCGAATCGCTCCTTTGATACGATTTGGGGTTACCTCAGAAAGAGGTGTTTAAACAGGTGCTGTGAGGCCTTGATTTTGAACGATCACAGGTTGAGCTCTATGGTCGTGGGTTCGATTCTGGGTCACGCCAACAGCAGACTTGGACTGGGCTCATCGTCATCCCCACGTGATGGTGTACAACTGGCTGTGTGCCACCGAGGGGAGGGCAGGATTAGTTGACGGGGTTGTCTTGCTCACACAGCCTGTGCGTGCACACTCACAATTCTCCTCCCAATATCTGTTGAGTGTCTCGTATGGAACTTTGTAGCCTGTCGTGTTAAACACTGAGTGGCCTGAACCTGGCCAAGTGGTAGAAATGTCTGCCTGCATATCCTCACTCTCAATGTCGCTTTCAAGATGCAGAAAAAACATAATCTGAAATTCCAAGTGGAGCAATTTTATAACAAGCATGTTTCATCAAACCAAAATATCAATTTTCTAAGGTAAAGCTGCTGTGCATGGTCAGAGTGCTAAAACACCGTGAGATTTTTTTTTGCAAGAGTTTGTTTGATATGCTTGACTTTTATTTTTATCTAAGAAATATTCAAGTGAAAATGTAAATTCTTTAT